TGAATGAATCTCCTGCCACAGAAAAGCAGCCTGTGCTGCAGACCCCCCCTCAGCTAGGTGTAGCTTTACACCTGCAGTTCAACACACTTCTCTGGCCAAGCCGATGATGGTACAGCAGCTGCTGCTTGTGAGTTCTGTGGAGGTCTAATAGCAATTACAAGTGCATTGCTGTGTGGGTAACAAAATAACCTTACAGCTTTTCACTACAAAGTCATGTTGACCACGTTCAAGAGAACCAAACCAACATGACTTATAAAGTGTGTTGTCTTTAGTTTTCTAGAAGCCTTTAAGTGAAAGCTGTACCCAAAAAATATTGTAATTGTGTTAAATAACTTGTAATTTTTGCCTTACACTATTTAATTTACTGTGGTTACATCTTTTATAATAAGTTAATTAATAAAATAGGAGGGAATAAGAAACAATTATGCCCTTGATTTTGCTTTTTTTTTTTTAAGGTACTGAAGCAAGATTGGTAGTATCATGTAACTGATAACATTATTACTGCAATAACAGAAATATTTGTATGGGGCTGGGTGTCGTGCACATATTGCAGTGAGACAAACATTTCAGCCTGCTTTCCTTTACACTATGTACCTTCCAACCTTGTAAGAATTAGCTTAGAACCTAGTGTAACAGAAACATCTAGCTGTATCTCAGCAGGGTTTTTAAGACAAATTTATTCATCATTGTCTTTGTTCTGAGGAAATACAAGATCCATGTACTAAAACATCTGCAAAACAATGCAGAGAATAATTATTTTGTATACATGTGACTTATTTTTATTAAGTGAGGAAACAGCCTTTTTTGAAGGTCATTTCTTTGGTCTTAAAAATTCAACCCCAAGCCACCTGGTTTTAATTTCCTGGTGTATTTCTTCTGTCTCAGCTGCATACTGTGCTAAAAACAAAGGCTTCATTCTTTAATTGTGAATATCAGATGCCTTTAACCTTCACTCTGTTGCTAGTGCCTTGGAATGTGAAAAAGCTAATATACAATATCCTCTTTTATTAGCTAAAATAATAAATGGCCAGTTCCATTCCTTTTATCAGCTGGGCTCAAGATGGACAGATCCTTGGAGACTTAAGACTTCGACAGAGACAAAAACATATGGCTTTCAAAGAAAAATCACTGTATTTGAACACAGTTCTGTTCTACTGTTCTGGATGACAGACAGGGATTGAAGGTCACTATTTCTAAAGTTATCCAAGAAAAGACTGGAAATCAGTCACCTCAGACCTCTGTCACCCTGAGGTGGTTAACAACCAGCACATCTGGTTTCAATCAAAAGCCAGTAAAGAATAAACAGCTCGCACATTCTAAGGCTTCTATCATGTGTTGGTTGAACATGGAAAACTGGTACAGAGCACCAGGAGCAGTGAAAGATGGCATTCTTCAGTGAGAAATGCAAGCTGACAGAAGAAATGGGGCAGAGTGGAGGATAATGACTTGTACAGCTCATTGAATCAATTTATTAGCCAGCTCACTGCAGATGATTGTTTCTAATAAAGCAGATAAATATTTCTCTTGCAATGGAAACAAACACTTAGATATTAAGGTGACCAAATTGTCTCCTACTTGTGAAAGGAAATGGAAATTCAGAGTGAATAAACAAATGGAAGTAAACCCTGGAGAAGATCTTCAAAGCAAACAAATGAACAAAGCAAAAAATAAATCTCTTTTCATCAAAAAACAAGCTTTCAGAAAAACTGATTATAATCACTATCACAAGAGAGAACACAGTAATTGACTTGACACCCATTAGATACACTCTTGGCATAAACAGATCAAGTACATTTCTTTACCCCCCTCATTTATTCAAATTCATAAAACATTTGTTGCTGTCCTGCCTGCAAATACAACTTATCCATAACTTGCACAACAATTTGGTCTGGGGCTTGTGTTAGGAGTGACTGCATCTAACTGGAGAATGAAGAGGCACACAGTGGTGCACTGGATCTCCTAACCAGGCTTCTGGAAGGCCTCCAGCCCCAGCTGAAGGGGGTACAAATGGGAGGGGAGCAGACCGAAGGCTGCAGTATAAACCACATGGTCTTATACTTTGGATCACATTTACCTCTTCCTCTTTTTAATCAACTGGAAAAGAGATTCTGCAGTTGGTTCACAGATGTACATTAAATAACAGGCAATCACTCTACTCACACATCAATACTTCTACATTTAGTGAAGAACCACAAATTTGAAAGCCGTTTCCCATCCCAACCCAGTCTATTAGTAACAAGGGTATTCATTACAGCAGCCTAAAGAGAGGAAAAACATGCTGCTTAGCTTCAAGAAAAATGTGCAGTGTGATGCTACGCTTTTTGAAACTTGATTTCTCAACAGCTGTTGCATCAAAAAGGTTTTTTAAAGTGGTTTTAAGAGACAAAACGTGTGAAAAGTAGCTAAGAACTTGTACCATGTAATGTCTGGGAGTTACGTGGATGTAGAATTGATAGAGAACTTTAGTTCGGTTCGTCTGTAAAACTAGTGAACAGAATCTAGGACACAGTGATAACATTCTTCAGGCTTCCTAGCATACATTGTTAGGAACATTCTGTTTCTTATGATACCAAGTGCCAAAGTTTAGTATGTTAGAAGCTACTACAGAGCACTGGAACAGGCTGCCCAGGGAGGTTGTGGAGTCTCCTCTGGAGACATTCAAAACCCACCTGGACACATTCCTGTGTAACCTACTCTAGAGGATCCTGCTCAGGGGGGTTGGACTAGATGATCTTTCGAGGTCCCTTCCAACCCTTAAGATTCTCTGATTGCTACTACTTCATAATGAACCATTTTTCAGATGGCAGAATTCCTTTGTTGACAAGATTAAAATGTTGGAAGTCTGCTGAATTTTAAAAACTGTTACACTCAATTTTCTTTAAAAATCATCACATCCACACTGCTGAATAATGATTTGAAATTCTGTCAAAAAAAACTCACGCTGGGCATCAAATTTCTGTTCCTGTGCAACCTCCAGGTCTCTGAAAAAAGGTAAATAAAATTTACCTTATTCTGTAATGACAATTGCCAAGGAATTTCAGGGTTATTTGCAAACCTTTATTTACTAATTTTAACTCCTCAACTCTGCCTTGAGTAGGTACTTGGGCTTAAAGTTCTGCCCCAGGGTAAAAAGTTGTGGGGAACAAAGTAAACAAACTAGATATACTAGAGTATGACATCCATTCATCTGTAGACAAACATGTTGCTTTTCCAGTACAAATTAATTAATGAACGGGAAAGTTTTTACTCTGAGGCTGTGGCTGGTGCTCACCTGCAGATTTCTGATTCTGGACAACAAAGGGCAAAATGTTTAAATGAGTGCTAAGAGTAGGTCACTGCTATTTAAATACCATTAATAAATAATTTTGCCATTAATATAGGAAAATAGACAAGGCTAGTTGAACAGAAGTCAATACTCAGGTATTTTCCACTTAATCTGCCCATACTAAACAAAACTTGGTAGGGTTGCTAAACAACACAGACAAAATTCTTCAAGAGATGCTGTAGGTTCCTAGAAAGCCACATCAAAAAGCGTGTGACCCAGAGATGGCCTTTTTAGGTAAGAGTTCCACAGATCCACACAAATTTCAGGAAAACAAAACAAAACGGCCTACTGATGACACTGCACCTCAATACTGCTGTTTAAAACCCAGTTTTATACCAGATACTCAGAATAACAAAAAACACAAAGATAAACATAAAAGTTTTACGTACAACTATGTTTCGAACAGATCTCCTGCCCCTTTCCCTCTTTCTCAGGAAAGAAGTTTCTATCCTTCTTAAGAAGATTTATGAAAACACGTTTGCAAATTAAGGTGGTAAGCTGGAAAGACACCAAAATGAGAACAAGCTGAAGTTGCTCCTCTCTATCTCAATATAAATTTTTTACAATTTGACTTCTAATAAAATAACTATTCTGCTAAGATGCACCTCTAAGTCATGAATCATCATTCACTCCTACCTGTCTCAGAGCTCTCTGTGGCTAGTCTCTCAAAATTCATGGTTTTTTTCAGCCCTCCACCCTCTCTATTGGCACTTGCTTGCTCCTATCTCACAGAACTACTGAAGATGGCAGGCTATCTGCAATACAAACAATATTATTAAATGAGAAAAGCACTAGAATTAGGCTAGACTGCACATGACTCTCCAACAGAACAGTTCGGTGATAATGACTTCAAGAAGTTCCAGCTGTTTAGACCTAATGAATTTTAAAATAAAGCACAATGCTGAAAAAACTAACTTTTTACATTTCCTATCAAACGATTACCTTCTTTAACAACATGGTGCCAAACTGCTGTTGTGACAGCCTAAGCCTTGAAAGGCTAAACAGCTAAGTAATCTCACATTTATATAAAACAGCAGAGAGAAGTCAGCTAAACACATTGAATTGAACTTGGCAAGATGGAACTTAATTACCCAACCTGAATCAAGGACTCTCAGAACACATCTGACAGCCAACTACTACCTTATCTTATAAATACACAATCATGTACAATACTATCAGAACGATTAAACCCTCTGTTTTGTGTGGTTTATTATCAGATATCCAGATGTTTCCCTTTCTACTGCACACACAGAAGGAAAAAAGCAAATGAGGAAATAAAATGCTTTTCTTATCTCAAGCTGAAGTATTTCCTATGTCACACACAGAGAAATTACTACTTCTCAGGTATGGAGGACATCACTTTCCAAGCCCTTTGTACGAATTACAGCATGGCTTAAAAATACTGTTTTTTTCATAAAGCCACACATGCTGTAAGACATGCTAAATGCAATCAACGCGCATAAGCTGCACAACTGATTTTATACACAGCACTTACAATGAACTGCTAAACTTCCAAAAATTTAACAAGCTAATCCATCCCCACAACCAGGACACTGCAGATGAAGCAGTAACAACAAGCAATTAAACACTACTTTTTACATTAAAACAAACTGCAACTACTACAACCAACCAGACTGCAGCTGCACAGTTGCATGACAAAGATACACACGTTAACTACAGTTTGTACATATTTCTTATTTATTCAAAAGCTAGGGGATGACAAAAAGTGTTAAAATGTCTTATGCCACCTATTCATTACATAAACAAATACTTAATCCAAAGGGACTCGTTTTACAAGCCACTCTGTCCAAAAACCACACACAAATTAGTTTTTATACACAAATGTTTATTTCTCAAATAAACTTCCCCTTTAAACACAAGGAATGAAATCTAAATCTTCATAAAGATGAATCCAAAATGAAATCCCTCCAGTACATTGTAATCACTGTTTTCTTGGTCACTACTGGCTTTAACTGTTTAACATCAAAAAACAAGGACATATTTTAAAAAATCATGCTACTGGATTCCTAGCTCTGCCTCTGACCAGCTGATCTCAAATATTTTAAAATTTTACATCAAATTTGAAGCGTTTAATTGAAGAACAGCTGTGCATTAAACACAAACAACTGAACAAAGAAGATTATAAGATGTAATCAAGTTCATAACGAATATAGGTGTTCTTTTCATCATTATAGATTCGTGGGTAATGTGATATCAGAGCATCCTGTGATCCAATGTAGATAGAATTATAAATCTTCCAATAAACATCTCTGACTTTCCTGGCAGGGTGAAACAAACCCTAGAAAACAAAATGGAACAAAGATGTTTAAAGGCTTATGGTCTATATGTCTGTTACTGCATTTTATTAAGTTTTGCACAATTAGCATTTAAAAATGCAACTACTGTAAATAATGCCACTTAAAACTGAGACAGCACACTAGATGTATCATTCCCAATTTTTGCAACTATCTAAACTAGCAAGTAGTAACGACGTTTTCTTTAGACACATTTTCTCATCTTTCTTTTCAGAAGGGAGAAATTCCACTGAACATATTACTAGTTTTGTATTCTTTAAAAAAAATGAAAACCTGCTGCAGTATATTCAGCTGGAACTGAATCTTATCTTTGGCTCTGCTAACTGTGAATCTGTGCAGAGCACACGAGACAGGAATATAGGAGATTATTGTTAAACCTAAAAAATAAGCAGAACATGAAAGCTCTAGAAAAAAGTTATATATAATAATATTCTAGTAATATCTGCAAAAATATACTGTGTGAAAGACTTCTTTCACCTCCTAACTGATGTCAGCTTCTTTGTGCTGAAGCTCCCCACATGAAAACACCCACACACTGAAATTCTGTAACTGCAGATACATAAAAAACGCTGTCACCTCTTCTCTATGTGACATTAATCCTTGCTTCCTGCCTGTTATCTGTGTTTAGATTCTATAGCAAACACAGCAAGAACTGTCACATGCAATTACACAGAAAGAAATCTTCAGATTTTACCACCACAAGCACATTTACTGAAGCTGAACTGATTAGTGCTGATGGTATAAGTTCTGATCAAAGCACTGGTTTTCAGTGCTTCTTTTACACAGTTTTAAATGTCTCACTTTTTCTTGGCTAGCAAGAAATAATGGTTTAATATTAAGCCTAACTTACTTATTTATCACAGTTATTAGTTATTCTCATAACCCCTTCCACTATCAATTTATTCTCTAGTCATTAACTAGTGTCCCCAAAGTTTGTGAGATGCTCCCATTTCACAAGCCTAAATGCCAGGCCATTTTAGCCAACTCCTGTTCTAAGTTACCTGCTTACTTCTACTTGAGTTCCTCAATGTAATCAGCTACCTCACTACACCAAAATCTGTTCGTTGCATATTTTAACTACTGAAGCCCTCGGTACAGAATGCCATGTATAAAGAATACTTGGAGGCCATACCTGTAAACAATACTGCAACATTCTGCAGGGACCAATAGCAACTCTGAGGCCCTCCAGAGCCCCCATAACTGCCTGAATGACGTGAGGAGAGGTTTCAAACACATTAGGCCATACATAATTTAACAAATGATTAAGAGAATCTTCACAGCCAAATCCATAAACACCAAGAGACATATGTTGCACCACGGCACTGGCTGTTTGTCTGTGTACAAGATCCCTGCAAAGAGGATAATGGTCTGTTAATAAATTATACTCTGAAGCAACATGATTAGACAAGTATAATACTGCTTTTCAGTAACACCTTTCATGAAACCACTAATATGCAATTTCGGACAGTGATTCAGTGATTCAGATTCTGAATTTTAACCCATATTTACTGACAGCAAGAGGCAGAGTAGCATAAGTTAGTAAATTTGCATTCTAATTCCACAGAAAAAGTACTAACAATAGAAATTATCAAAAGAGATTTGAATGCAAGAAGTCTTGACTCACTTCAGATGCCTTTATCATTTCAGTCTCCAAAAGTATTACTAAGATATGGGCATATAACCTGAATTACTTGCAGACAATGAGTTCCAGATTATGCTGGTCACTTGACAGCATAAACAACAATATACCTATTTGCTATCACTAAGACCCAGCTAGACACTTAAAATATATGACTATAGCTAACTGTCCATGTTATATGACTATAGCTATCCATGTACCATGGATAGATGTGCACTCACCTGTCCATTAAAGCATCTTCAAGCAACGGTGTAACAGCATAAATATAATCTTTTCCCATCTCTCCAATGTATTCAAACAGGAAAGAAAGAGATTTTAACACACCATTCTGGACATTCAGTTCTGGAACTCTGTATTCATTCATGAGTGCAGGCAGCACTGTGAAAGGTGAGCACGTTTCAGCTACAATAGCAATTGCTACTGTGGTACACACTCTGTTCTGCCTCTCCTGTACTTTCAAGTTATTTAGCAGTGTAGCCAATACATCATGGGGTCTGGAAGAGAAAACAGGTGTGTCCATGTCAGTAGATTCAGTGAGGATTCAGATAAAATCAGTTTCAAATAGCAAGTGGCAGAAAAGCAAGGCTTAGCCCTTAAAAAAACAAGTTTAAGTAAGTGGGAAACAACATAAACCACAAAACTGTGAAACAGCTTAAGTAACTGCTTGATCTGATTTTCATAACCAATATTTCTTACTTTCTCTAGACTTCACTTGTTTCCTCCCTTCTGTTCTGCCTCTGGAGAACAGGAATAGCCTCTCCACTATCACTCTGATCCCGCAGGTAATTACAAACTTGTACAAAACCATACACATGGGCAGAGATCGGTAACGTGCTGTAGAGGTAAGCACACTGACAGCATTCCTTGCTCTATCTGCATTAAATCAGTAATTAGTCAGTTATTTACCAATATGCATGAAGATGGGAATTTGGCTTCATTTTACAATTTGCTGACTTGCTGTATCATCTAAGTGACAAAAAAACCCCATTCGCAAATCAATAAGAGTACTGATTTGGGGAAAAAATAGATAGTGAGTATTTAAATTAGAGTTTATGAAATTGAGAGGTTCTGAATGCATGCCACAATATCAAAAATTGTTAAGACAACCAGCTTTTACTACCAAATTATACTCTAACCTTCCTCATCTACAAATTTAGTTCAGAAGTGCAGCACTGTATGTTAATGAAGAACAGGTGACTGTATTCTCCTTCTACCAAATGGGTAGAATTAAGTCTACACACTTAACACGTTAAATGTGGAGAACTGTGAATATTTCTCACCAGAAAACTCAGTCATCACTGTTAGGTAACTGTGTGTAGAACTGGATAAGCATTAGACCAACTTACCCAATAGCTTTTGCAATATAACCAAAAGTGTTCACTGTGGCTCTTCGGATGGCTTTCTTGTGAGCTTTCAATAATTCAAGCAGTTCAAAGCAGATTCTCATCCATTCTCTTGCAGAAACATATTCTGCGCCTCTGAAAGAGAATAACGTGAGTTCCCTCTTGAGTGATGTCACAAGTTTTTTAAATAAAAAACACATAAATTGCAGCACCTATTAATTTCCTATCAGAGGGATACTGCTTAAGCAGTTAACACTAGGCCTTCACTGGTTAGCAGTTTACCCAAAATTCATCACGTTGTGTGCATTCCCAGTTTCCATAAATAGATACTATACGTCTTATAAACTGTTTGCAAGATAATAGAATTACAATATACTCAACAGATCATCTACTAAATATCTCATCTCAAGCTTTATATTCAACTTGAAGAAATATAAAAGAGTTATGACAATAAATACCCAGATGTCAAACCTGATGCTCAGCTTCAGCTTTTGCTACAATAATTGCCCACAGAAAAGGTCAAAAACTTCCCCACGAGTCAGCCTACCTGTCTGCAATACGCCCAACAAGATCAATACAATTTTCCTGTACTTTCTCATGTCTATTCTTCAAAATAGGCGTAAGCCGTGGCAGCAGATCTTTGATTGGTGGTGTCATCTTGTGCATACCTATTGAATTCAAATAGGGATATTTAGTTTCATATTGCCTTTTAAATTTTCTCTTGAACAGGCAAGCAACCAACACACAAACATTACCTATAACGTTCACAATGGCCTTCAGTGCTCCAAGTATGCTGCCCAGTACTTCAGGATATTCCTCACCCAGGTACTCATACAACACAACACCCAAGTGTCCCATCAGTTTTTCCTATAATCAAGTAAAAAGATTAGTCATTATTCTTACTACTACAACATACTATGGAAAATTTGGTAGGAGAAGTCAATCAATACCTCTTGACAAGTCTTCATGACAACTGCAGTACGAGAGATGAGGTCAGCTGCCTGCTGCCTAACTTTGGCTGATTTGTTGTTCAAACGCCACAAAACTGTACCACAGATCTGTGGCAAGTAGGGCTTAACTCTCTTGCCTAGAGCATTAACCACTGTGCCAAAACCATTCAGCATCACAGAATCCTGAGTTTAAAAAAAAGAAGGGAAAATCAGACCAAAAGCAATACTCTGTTTTAATGACATTTGACAGAATCTAAAATTGCTATTAAAATGCTAACATTCCAGAGCTAGTTTCTGCATTTCATTGATTAGAGCACTGATATCTGAAAGAGGATTCTAAAAATCTAACTTAGAAGCATACATTTCTGTATAACTAAGAGTGACCTAGCTTACAATACAAGTGAACCAAGCACTAAATAACTCTTGGCCATACCTCTGTGGTCTGTTCCTGAAAGGCGTACAAGATACCATCAATAAGCTGTTCTTCCAGTTTATGGTCAATGTCTGCTGCCCCCAGGTTTCCCATTATCTTCTCAATTGTCTCCATGACCATTTTTCTGTACTGCTCAGCCTCATCCTTCAGATCATCCACAATTCTAGAAATAATTTCTGCTGCTCCAACTTTATTTGCCAGCTCCACAGTTGTATCAACCAGCTGAAATACACAAATGTTAAGTGAGCAAACATTGTTAAAATTGACTTTCTACATCCTGAAAATACATTTCCTTTGTCTGAACAGGAGAAACAGCATCATGAATATTAAGTGCACTACAAACAACTGTTTTAACCTTTAGAAATCATCCCATGTTTTAAAAAAAACAAATGGGATAGCTACCCCACCTTACAACTGATGCAGACTTGTATTCACAGATGTAAAATGTCTTAATAGCCTACTAAGAACCTGTAACTGTTCTAGCAATGTGACTTCTAAACCATTTACCCAAACAAAATTCAGTTTCAGGACATCCAAGGAAAAAATAAACATCCAGCCTAAATGAGCATTCCAATATGAATTTTGTCCTACTGCAAATAATTTTCCGATTAAGAAAAACAAAATACCTGTCTGTAATTTCTTCTGTCCAGTGCCATTCTGTGCTGCCAGAAGTGTTTGAAAAAAGGTGGCAAGATTTCTGTTTTAATGTAATTTGCTTCAACACCATCAGTACCACAACACTGCTTTACAACCTGTCAAGAAATAAAAATAAAATTATTTTAATTCATGGTAGGGTTTGGGGTGTTGAGGGGTTGTGGAGCTTTTTTGTTTTGTTTTTGTCTTGGGGGGTTGTTTTGTTTGTTATTTTTAAGAAAAAGCATATATATTCAATACTAATGCTAAAAAAAAAAATCACTCTGACGTACCTTCAACACAATCTTTTTCATCTCTTCATCAGGAGACTGGAACTCTCTGATAAGGATTAGCATGACTTCTCTGGTATAATAGTTTGCATACTCGGCATCCATGAGGGGAATCAGGTAACCAATAGCCTTCAAAAAGGCAGCCAAACCCTATTGAAATGCAAAAACATGTATCTTGTCAGCTACAGAAGGTATATATTAATTTGATTTCAAACTAAAGAATGTATTTTAGATATACCTTTCCTCTGTGTTGACGTATACCCTTCCATAAAGGCTTCAGAACAGAATCAAATGACTCAATACCATAGGGAGTCGCTGCCTCAGCCAAAGCAGCAATAGCCAAAGCACTGATGGTGCGAACTTTCTGCTGCTCATCCACCAGGCCTGCAAGAGAACAGTGTTTAGTACCACTTCTTGTGAATTCAGTTCAAAACTGCAAAACTAGAGGGGCAGTATAAAAGGGACTAACTTATTTTCAGGAAAATTTAAGCTTTACTCCTCTGTAAGAGGCAGCTGAACTGTTTCCTGGCTTTAAAAAACCCCCCAAAACCCACACACAAAACCAGGACCCTACTGTCACTGAGCCACACTGGAGTATAAACATTTTCCAACTACAAAGTGAGTAAAAAAATTGTTACCTGGGAAAACAAAACTTACCATGTTCAATAATTTCAACCAAGCTCCTGAGATGAGGCAAGATAGCACAACCCATAAGAATAGCAATCTGCTGTACAATCTTGATGCCAGTATGTCTAGCCTGCCAGGATTTCTTGCTTTTACAGACAGCTTTCAAGAAGGGTAACAGAGAAGGAATTCCCAAAGCAGAGGCAACCACAGCAAAGGCTCGAGCTGTTGTATTTCGGACGTATTCATCCATATTATCAATATCAGGTCGCATTGTGGAGATCATTGTTGCCAAACCAGCAGCCTGAAGAAAAAAACAACAAGAAACATGCCCCTTGTATTTATAAACAGCACAGTTAATTCTTCTGCCATGCCTATAAACATACAGCTATACATAAGCTAATTCTGTGCCTTAATGAAGGATGGAACTTTACCTTAGCCAAGTTTGAAATAATTTCTCTGCCTTCCACTCTAGCATAGTAGTCTTCATCAATCAGCAGTGGTTCAATGACAACAAGGATCTGAAAAAGATGAATAAATACTTCCTTTCATTAATATTTTTAGTTGTACTTCTGGCCTTGCTAGAGTCCATGGATCCAAGCTTAAAGCTTTATGATGACCAGATAACATTAAATCTGTTATGACCTTTTTACAGCTCTTTGTCTCTAAAGGATCTGGCCCAGATATACTACCCAGATCAGGTAAGATACCTCTTCCCACCCCCATTTTTAAATCATGACATAATGCCTTGAAGCCCACACTTTGGTTACACCAGAGGAACTTAAAAGTTTGGCTTAAGAGTAAAAATGAAAGCCAATTATGTTAAGACAACATGGTATAATTCTCTTCTAATATGCAAATAAAATAGACATTTCTCCCAGCAATGACCAGAAAGAATAAAGATGAAACACTAAACTGCAACAGACCTTATGTACATATGGTCGGACCAAGTCATCCAGTTTGTAAAGAATTCTGTCAATGACTTTGACAAGCAAGTGACGCTCCTGATCTTCAAGAGTTGGTGACATCAGCAGAGGCAGAATCTGATTAAACAACGGCCCTGCTCCAAATTCCCGAGCTTTATCAGTAATTTGTCGCAATGCAGCCTAAACAAAACCAAACAGCCTGTCAGTTAGACTCAGGGAACAATACTGAACAATTACAAACCAGGTAAATATTAACCAAGTTAAAATTTAATTCACTGTAACCAGAGGCTTCAGAATACCTGTTCCTACCACTGCGAAACTCTACTTCAACAGATTTTATGCTGACCTGTTGAAAAATGAATGAGTAAAGCAAAACACCCTGATGTTAGCTCCCAGACATTCAATTTTCCAAAGAAGCACTTCTGGTTTCTATTTAAAAACTAGCTTATACTGCACTTATTGCATCAAGGCAACTTGGTGCTATGGTCAATTTAGAGCAAAACTGCTCAGACAAGACAGCTAATTTATCACATAATGAGGAAGGCTGAAATGTAGCTAAGAGCTACACTGCTAATTTCAGTGTGTGAAGCATGAAAATTATGAAGCCCTGTAAGCAAAAAGGATGACAAATTCAGTTTATCCTAACTCTATCTAAAAAGATATTGATTTGCCATATACTATTTAGTGACTGACATTACTGCACAAAGAGCAGCAATACTGCATTACATTGAATGACAAAAAGCCATACAGATACAGAGGAGGAAGAAAACACTAAATAGATACCAAAGTTTAGGAGATTATCTTATAGACAATTCCACAGACAACTGAAACTAAACCTGAAGAATACAGACTTTTGAAAACTGAAATTACAAAAATGCATCTAACAATACAGCCTACCTTTCTCATGGGAGGTGTGCCATTCTTTATTTTCAGAAGTAGTTTCATTATTTTTCTCTCCTTCTGTTCTTCAGGACTCAGAGTTGATTCATCAACATCAACCTAAAAATAATTCCAGACAAATAAACAGGTATTACTACATACTCACACGAAATCAGGGAACTTTAATCAGTATGAATGAAATGCCATTTACCAATAGTTTATCAAAGTACTGGATGTCATCTGGTTTCAGGAATGGGAGATTGCCAGAGGGCTGGTCATTAACACTCTTCATAGTCCTGTCTTCTGTCTGCATGTGGAACCCAGTCATTCCGCTCAAAGGTGTTGGGGTCGCTGTGAGCTTACGAGCTGGAGTGCGAATAGGTACATAACCAGCTGGTGGGGGAAGCACCTACAGGAGAGAGAACAAAATGTATCTTACCACAGCAGATAAAAGAAGAGGAACAAAAATTTGTGACTTTCCTCTAAGTTTTCTACATCTGGAGTTAGCATTTTTATCAGTCTGTTCTGGCCTTAACAGGCATTCCCAACATTGAGAAGCAGAATAATGACTGGACTTGGAAATCACCTTTATTTTTTCCTTTCTAATGGATTTACAGTAACTCAGTAACTGAATCTAACAACGTCTAGAATCACTAATCAATACTTAATGTGAAACATTCTACTGGGACAACTTGGTTTAAACTTAAAAAAAAACACCAAAAAAACAGTACCTCCTAACAGGAAAAATCTCCATCATAGTCTCCTGCATTTTAACCCAGATGTATTATTACCTTATATCCTTCTGGAAACATAGCATCCAATTCTTCATCAGAAAGTGGTCTGTTTCTCTCATCAATTTCCCTTTCCCAACGCCAAGCCTGCAGCTGTTCCGGAGTCATGCTCATGATATGACCTATATTCAAATTTAAAAAAATAAAATTAAAACAAGGTTTTAACTAACAAGTCTTCCATATGCAAAAGGAGATGACTAGTTTACTCAACCTTAAAGTGCTCGCTTTAGCCATAGTTTTACACAGCACTTGAAATCTGCAGCCAGTAAGACATCAAACTTTTAGAGCCTTTTATAAATTTTTTACCAGCAACACTGAACAAGGACATAAAACTTTAGCCTCTACTTCCATCCAGAACTGCATTGCTGTGGGCATTAAAAAGAGTAAACTGAGCATATACTGACTGCTTTCATTCAGGCAGAATATGTTAAGCAGAAGACTATTTCAAAATACCGTATAATGGTAAATGCTTCATTTCCAGAAGTGAAGTCAAGCCTTAGAGAATGAACTGGGCTTACCTGGTGTAGGAGTTGCCATGTTCATAGCTGGTGTACCAATGGGTGTTTTGCCAGGTGTCAGAACAGGTGTGCTGCCACCCATCTGGCTAGCAGGTGTTTCATCCCATCGTGACTTTCTTTTACTTGCTCCTGGGGTTGGTGTCTCACCAATGGAGTCACCACCTCTGTCTGTACGAGGCGTCTCAGCCCATCCACTGCCATGCCCCGGAGTATCTAAGGGAAAACAAAACAACTGTTTTTGCAGAAAGCTGAACATCATATACTCCAACTACGGAAGCAATATCCAAGCCCATTTTCAGTATCTCATCCTCATGCCCACAAAAATCAAGTATTAACTGAAAAAACATTAGACAAAAAGTAAACTACTTTGGTGAATATTGAAAAAACACAGGAATTACACTAAAAACATCCAGAGAACTTCATTTTATGAAAACGCATGTCATCTTCTTGCTGAATCTTAGCATAAATAGATAAAAACTATTAAAAATAATAATTAATATTCTAGAAATTGGACTAAGTTCTCCATGTACTCCCTTGATAAAATCATTAAGGAACACTGGTGTTTCACTGTTCTCTGACACTCATATCATGCAGATGAGAAAATGCTTCCAAAATTTGTTTTAGTTCTAACCTCTTAAAAAAAGTAAGTTTGAAAAAAACATACAAATGTATCATGAAAAGCAATGAAACTTTAATTCCTTTACTACATACTTTACACATTAAAATTCCAACTTGTAGCAGTCACTAGACACACCAGAAAACTTTCATTCCATTTTTGAGCTGAAGTGCTTTCACAGATGTGAGTTAAGCTAACAGGCAGAATTCAATGCTACGAACTGCAACAAAAACATTACCTAACATCCACCACTAGATGTCAGAATATAATTACTTGTTGCCTGATTTTCTTTATCTGCCGTTTACTTAAGGTGAAAAAATCCTATGTGATTAGCCATTCAAAATTTTCCAGTTCACCATAAATACCTCTTTCTGTTTTAGGTGTTTCATCCCATCGATTTTTACGTGCACTGGAAGTGGCACCTCCGTGGCCTGGTGTTGCATGACCTGGTGTGTCCCGTCCAGGTGTTGCAGCTCCTGCTGGTGTATGACTAGGAGTTGGATCCCATATTTTTGAGCCTGGGGTAGCACCAGGAGTTTCGCTACCCTTGGCACGCCCTGGAGTTTCATCCCATCGCAGAGAAGGTGTATGTCCAGGAGTCTGTGCAAGACAAAAGCAAAAGTATTGATATACCATACAGAAAAGACTGGTGGTTGCTCTTTTTCAGTAGAGCAAGGAACCTGCTATTTAAGAGGATTAGCATTAATAATGTCTTCCGTAGATAAGATGATGAACACTCGCATTATTACCTCTGCTTGATCCCAGCTGGATAATTTTTTCGGTGTAGCACCAGGAGTTTGATCAGCTGTCTGATCCCAACGCCGCTTGCGTTTTGAAGGTGGCTGAGATGCGGCTCCATTGACGACTTTAAGCTCTCCAGCTTTAGCTTTTTCAGCTAGTTGTTGCCTAATTTCCCTCTATTCAAGGGCAAAAAAGAAACAAACATAAGAATCATATTTCTTAAAAAGGCCTCTTCAGACAATACCTTTAAAATACGTTTTTCACCTCTATGGTAGCTTTCAATGCTATTTTTTTAAGGTTTTGCTCAAATAACATGCAATCAGCTATTGTTTTCATTTGAAGTTCATTCTCTTTTAAAATTCTTCTGTACTGACAGAGCAACTGTGTGTTTGGAGGAGCTCATTTTGAATTGATTTCTTATAAAAGCCATTAGTAAAACAAATGCAAATGCATGGAGAATTTTGAAAGCCATCAATTTTTGTAACCTATATGTATGTTCTAAAATCATTATGCATTTGTTTACTGAAGTTCCACTTCAGTAAATTACATGTGGATGAGTTAGAAAGCATGTTCACATGAGTTATATCCCATGACAAAGTCCTGAAATACTTATTTAAAATTCTGAGATGACATTGTTAAAACAGCACACTAACCCAGACTGTTTTTCACTTATCAATGGATCCATAAACAATAAGATAGTTAAAATTATTAACTAATTCCTCCATTAAGATAAGCCAAGTAGAGTAAATCCATATAAATCTACAGAAGTAGATCTTGCTCCAATTAACAAGATGGTATTGTAGGCATTACACAATAAATTTTATTACACTACCAGTAACTTCTTACCTATTAAAATTAATTTTTAACAGCCACAAATAAAGCATGTGCTTTTACTCTTTCCTTAATATTTAAAACCAAATGCCAACCTTACACCAATTCATAGTACTGCAGCATCTATCATAAAAGCTTCAAGAAACATTTCTTAAAAACTTCCTGTATTCCCTTCACACAGACCTCACAAAAACAAACCTCTCTGACACTGAATACTCCTGAGTGACTTAGTTTTTCTCTCGTCCTCCGAAGGAAAATAACCAGCAAAGAGTCCAAGTACTGTAGCAAAATCCAGATTAAAATATAGAGGCTACTTCTCCCACTATTGTTTAAGTATTACAAAGAACAGATGCTTTTCAAAACTTCCAAAAACTTTAAATTCTACTGACTTTCAACATGTGAAGAACAGGATTTTCCAAAGAAAAAGATACTGAAGTCAAGACAAGAAGTCAACAGCAAGGCCACTCTCCCTTTCTTAAAATGCATTCAAAGGCTGTAAAATGAAACTAACATCAAGTGGAAAACCCTCCACACACTCACCTCTTCTTTTGTTAAATGCTGTTCACGCATAACATCCATGTATGTTCTGGCATTCATTTTAGGATCTGGTGTCTTCCCTCCTGCAGAAGAGAACAGCAACAGGAATGGAGCACAATGAGTACAGGATAAGCAGAAACTACTAACTTCTTCTATTGTCCTGCTCTAATAATATTATATTATTCCATGATCATTTAATTTTACTTTTTGATTGAATTTTTTTAAAATTACATGTATCTTACGTTTATTCAGTTTGCTGATCAATTTAACCTGTTTGAACACAAACATAGCTACTGCAGTTTCAAACAAATATTTTAAAGCCGATATAAATGATAAAATGACAACACAGTTAAGAGTCTTCAGAAGTGATGGGTTCCTGGGTTGCTAATCCGGAATACGTACACTTTCGTGCCTTTGTCTCCATCAGCAGTTCTGACTTCAAGCAGCAGAATAGAAGCCTAGAAAATTATCTCTTTACCATTAGTAACACTTTGGAAAGATATTTATATTCAAAACATTACCTTGTGCAAGCTGTTAAATCCTAGTTGTTATCTGATTGTAACTAACTATTTACATACCTTAGTAATGTTTAAAATGTTTTATCATAAAGACCCATTTTTAAGTTTGACAAATCTGGACATGTTTCCCAGATCCTCTAGTGTCATATTGTAAAAGGGCTTCATTAAAAAAAAATAATCAAAACAAAAAACCCAAAAAAACTGTTTGATGACACTTTCCCCCTCTTCTCAAGGTACAATTGTGATTGGGAGCTGAATGCAATACAAGTACATAAACCACCACAATGATACTCACAGGTAATGGGTTTTGTATACCATATGTTGTTTTATGCTGTGCATCTTGAGTTAATTAAACTTTAAACCACTTTACAAGAAGCCCAACTTTACAAAAATAAGATTTGTCAATAAGAACACTTTTTCTTAAAGAAAAATGTGCAGATTTGCTATACAAGTGGTATAGCATTAGAATTTAGGGAAAAAAATATGCTTCTTAAACATTTCTATGCTGAAGATGATTGCCCAATTGGCTGTGTCATTCTGACACTAGCTTTGATAGGACTTTCCTTTGGAATACTTTTTCACCATAATCTACACAGGATGTGTTGAACTGCACCCTTAAGAATGCAGACAGGACTGGCATATAGCAGTACTGCTGTAGGAAAGAAATTAAGGACAGTTAGTATGGGCCTGTGAATTCTGACAAAACATGTTTATATCAATTACAATTAAGCAAGTAAAATAATTATTATCCCTATTAATTCATGCAGGCTGAAATTCTAATTTGTAAAACCTGCAAAACAGCTACTAATTTTAAGCCAACAGGCACCTTACTGCCACACGTGAAACTCACTCACCTGAAGAAAGTTTCTGTCAGACCCACTATACCCCTTTTCCTGACTTGCATTCTAAAATTATCAGAACAGACTTGAACTATTAATAGTATCAAAGTCTTATATACACTTTTGTTGCTTTTAGCTATACCACCTAAGTTTACATAGGATGGTAAGAATTAGGTGCTCTATTTTGAGAACCAGCATTTCAAAAGCAGAAAACCTGTAAATCTATGACTTGGAATGAAAACTTTCAAGGTACTGAAAGAATCTGAGCACTCAACACACAAGTTCTTCAAAGTATAATGCACAACCCAAAGCAAAATGAAAAGAGAAACCTTTAACCCTTTGTGTTTCTATGGCAATGGCTCATTATTTTCTTGTCCTTCTACCTGGAAAGAAAACTTGTATTATAAAGATGAAGAATATGGCATCTAGGTTTTCAACCAAATCTCTATAAAAAGGGGATGCTTAAAACAAAACTAAGTTTATAAGCATGCCAACAAAAATCAAAGGGCTAAAGACAATTGAAGACAACAAATTCCATAACGGGTATAGAAAAGTCAAAATAAATTACCATCTGCAAAAGGATCAAGACGCTCAGGGGAAATTATCATCATCCGCCTGTGCTTTTTGTACTCATCTTCCCGATCGGCAATCTTCTGAGGACGGTGTTCTGCAAAAGGATCATACTAAAAACCAAAAACATCTTGTTAGCACACATGTAAGAGGAACAGTTTGAAAAGTGTCTGGTGACCCTAAGTCTGCATTTGTTTTCAGTTTTACTAAAAAGGCCGACTTGATTTTTAATCTCAACTAGCCAAAACACTACGCTAATACAAATTTTACTTCTGTAACTGGAATGTTTTTTTTAACACACAATTTCTTATTTAAAAACTTCTGACAAGAACTTGTTATTTTTAGAAGTTTATTCATTTGTTAGCTAAGCATTTAATGCTGTTGAGCTCTCCCCTCTTTTTGCAGGGAGACTTAACACTACTTCATATGCTTTTAGGTTTCACAGAAAAATACTCCAGGAATATAAAACATAAGTGATTACATCTTCTCTATAAAAACAGAAGAAAGTACATTAAGTTTTCCAGTTAAATTTTTTAAGGATCTGACCTATCAAAAATATTTTCTAACTGTTTAGCATATATGCCCACATCATTTTACATGCAGAAGTGCCAGTTTTTATCACCCTGTGGAATTCTAAACTAAACCAATAACAAGCTTTCAGCAAGATTAAAATACCACACTCCTCTACATGCATCTTGCATTTCCAGAAGACAAGACCTGGTCTTGAAAAAGATTTATTTACCTTAATACCTACAACAGCATTGTTTATTGTGCCTTAAACTAAGATGTACCTGTTCAGAAGACTGTGGTATGTCATTAAGCAATGCCACTGGAGCATGGTACCCTGGTTTCTTCTGCCCAAGCAAACTTGTAGAAGGGTAGTCATCATCATCCTGTCAGTAAAAAGACATGGTAAATTTGTCATGCTGATATTATATTAAGATAAAATAATGTCACATTAACATACTGTGATCATATAAAATATGAGAATGGACTACTGGAATAGTTCATCACAATTTTTAGCAAGCTTTTTCACATAGCTTGCTTTACTACTCTCAAACTGCTGAATCAGATAAACCTAACCACATCATTAAAAAGACAACTCTTCTCTACAAGACTCAAGTATTCTGCAATATACTACTTTGTATCAAGTATGCTACCTACAGTGGTTACACAAAAAGTCTGTATTTCATATTAGCACTATTAATACAGTTTTCTAGTTGGCATGTGAGAACTGGTGCACAGAAATTCAAACATTTTTTTCTTAAAATCCAGGTAGATATAGAACAAAACTGCAGTAAATAACCCTACAAAAAGCTTCAGAAACAGTGAAAAAAGTAGAAATATATTAATTTTTATTCAGTTATACCTTCACAATCCCAGTGGCAAGAAGTATTTAGAATGTGTTAGACATTTTGCTATCCACTTCCTCATGCTAATACCCAGTTTTTGTGCAATAATTTACAGCAACCCAAAAGAAAAACTGCTCTTAAAACTATGAACTGATTTCAGTGAGATGGAAGCTCCTAATTATCAATTTCTTAGAACTCTAAAAATGACACACTAAAAAAATGACATCACTAAGAGAAAAAAAGGATTTTAAAAATCTATCAACTAGTACGAAACTGAACATAATCTTCCTTTCTTCTAAAAGTATCATTCACTTAGTGTGATACACAGTTGCTTATGTAGTCATGGTCAGACCTCTAGCGGTCAACTGCTCCTGCAACTGAAAATGAGGTCAAATGTTTAACATTAGAAATTAACATGAAGTAATCCTACAAGCAGCATACAGAAGGAGAAAACAATACAGTGAAAAAACAAAGTTAATTATTCCACTCAAGGCTAACACTTATTTAGTACCAGACCATAACGTTTTGCCCTCTGCTTGGGCCTACATGACTTTCAAAACAGAATTAATGAAGTAAAAGCTAGACTTAGAACTTAGAAGCTTCCCAGATAAGACATGTCCAGGACAGCTTTAATGACAATAACCACTTTACTTCAGTGACAACTATTAAAAATTACTCAAAATTAATTCCAATATACTTAGAATGCATATCCTAAGCAAACAGATACCTAAAAATCACTTACATCTTCTAATTCAGTTGCTGCAATAGAAGTGACATATCCAGCAAACCTGCTGTCACTGCCACCATAAATTTCTTGATCATAATATCCTGTGGAATCAAGGCCTACTCCTTGTGCTTCATCAAGAGCAGGTTTTTTTCCTTGAATTTCTCGAATTTGTGCTTCAATATCTAGGGTAAAGAAACAAAACAATTCAGGTATTTTTAAACATCTCCACAGAATGTAATACTCATGTAACTACGTACAGTAAACTGAGATTTACACCCAATTTCAGAGATTATCTCTTAAAGAAATCAATAAACATGATACATAAAACTGTAAAATCACATTTATAAGCAGATTTTCCTTAGGTTGTAATATTATCCAGCACAGATTACTTCAATTATACGGCCTAAAACAAATGTATCTCATCTTGCAAAAGAGACAGCAGAGAAGGTACTTCACAATACATTAATTTTCTCAACACTACAGTAACACTGGACCTTCTCAACAAATGTAATCTTCTCATTAAAAAAGCCTTTCAAAATGTAATCACAAATTAACAAACCCATTTTTCTAATTAAAACAAATCTGTTCAAAAGAGTTACTGCATGAGTTGTTAAATCTCAGAACATTCAATAAAACAAGATAGTATTGTGTTATCTGACATACTGTAAAACTGTTGTATCTTTAAACAAATTAAAACAAAAACTCTAACCTCACTGGACATAAAATTAGCAAAAATAAGTTAGGACCAGTTTCTTTTCACTTTGGCAGCTCAAACATTATTTACTCATGACTATTGCTGCCTGCATCAACATCTTTGAAGAGCCTACTATTCCTTTGGATAACAAAAAGGTTATCCTTAAACAGGACAAACGAGAGCTTTGTCATCTCTTAACTCTCAGGGTCTGACTCTAATCAACTCTGGTGGCCATCTTTTGACCTTACAAATTTGGTACTTTCAAAAAGAACATTAACTTGTTAACCCGGAAAATAAGGAATCAAATTAAATCCCCCTACCTGCTGTACTGTAACAAGAAAATAAGTTATAATAGTTAAACTGTTTCCAACAAATTTAATTGTAATACAGGTATATCAAGATAGAGCTAACTTGCTAAAAATTATTGCTGTTTCCATCTGAATGTTATTTGATTCAATAGATATGTAAAGATAATTATCCATACAACGTGATTTTCAGTAGAAAACTGTTTCAGTTGTTTTCACGGCCAAAAAAATACTCATGAGTTGCATTTCATGGCTTACGGAACACCAAGTATCACAATTAAATGGGAGGGTTGGACTGTTTCAGAAGTCCCTGCCAACCTCAATGATTCTGTAATTTGCCCTTTCCCATCTAAATTAATATTTCCTGCTACGTTAACTGGAGGGAAATTTGCCACTTTACAAAAGCTACAGGAAATTTTCTTCACAAATAAACTTACATGTTGACTATCCGCCAGTTTTTTACTATTGTTGCTCATTTATCTTTTTCAGAATGTCACAAGATTCTCCCACTGGGATATCTTGCAAAAGACATTATGTTATAATATCTGCTAACAAGCCTGGCAAGAATTCAGATTAGAATTATTAAAAAAGGTAAGATTACTGCTAATCCAGATTATTGTACCTGAGACACAAATTAGCAGAAGGGTGTTTGATTTTATTGATTTTTTTTTCATGATTGAAAGACTGCAGATCAAAATTGCTTTGTTTGAAAGTTAACTGTCAGCCTTGTAAACCTACAGTCAAGCCTATCACAAACTCACTAATTTAAAAAAAAAAAAAGCCAACAAAAGACAAGCCAAATTATGCCTCCTGTACAAAGGAACGGTTTCTATAAAGGTAACTGAACAGGTAGTTTTACCTGACAAACCTTTGCTTTATAGTTATAAGTGAGAACAGCAGGATTAAGTGTTCCTGTACAGCCTAAGAGAATGGCAGTTAGAAACACTGCTTTAAGCACAGGACACCTGACAGAAAATCTGCAATTCCTGCAGTGGTCTAGTAGGTAAAGAAAGAAGTAGCAAAAGAATGCTTCTAAAAATCATCACAAGTCCCATGCAGAGAAGATCCCTCCTAGCAGCTGATAAGGAGAATCTTGCTCCAGCCTAAGGGTTTCTATCACACAGATATCTATAACAGGGCAACCTGAACGGTCACTGCTGAAACCTGACAAAAGTCTTACACTGCTGGCCACGGTAACCTGCTGAGCCCTGCCCCCAGGTACATCCAGCTCCCTCCCCCCGTCCTCAAAATTCTGCACAGCAGTAATTGCATAGGGAATTCCAGTGAGTCCAGAACTTCAGATACTTGTTCCCCACTATGCTACTTTCTGGAGAAGCAGGAGAAAGTAACTACTGTGGAATTAGGGATCTCTGCTTTGCCCAAGGAGGTCTCTGTTCCTCCTCAGAGGCATACCACACGGATCCTGTTTACCAGTGTCCTCTTAAAGTATTCAATTTTTGTGCAGTCTCCCTGTGGCATGGGTGTGGAAGTGATACAACTCCAAATGCTGTCCTCACAAGTTTTGTTTTTTTTAGTGATTTATATTTCTTCCAAAGAGCAAAGCAAGCTCCTGATTCCTTTGGCAGCCTGCTGCAATGCAGCACCGGGGTGAAAGGGAATACCTGACGCTTCCAGTGCTACAAGGACACCGCTACTAGAGCCCCGTGCTTTTAATACAATAACATTGTTTCCTATTTCGAAGGAGCAGTTATCAGAACAACACACTGCCTCTTTACCAGGCTATTAAGTCCTGCTTGTGCATCCATTGCTGTAAACAACTTTAAAAAAACCAACAAACTACACATCTTCTGTCTACTGAACGACCCTGGGCATACAGCTCAGCCAAATAAAGCACCTTTAAGTGCTCTGCCATGCAGGGTTGGTCACAGAGAGGTCTGTCCAGGTGTGTTACCATCAAAAGAATCTATCGAAGCACTTGTGGAACTTCTGCAGATGTGTTCACACAAAAATCATTTCCTATTAATGGTTCTTATCAAAGCTTTACAGACTAAGGCCCTGTTTTCACCTTTTACTTTTAAAATAGCTACATTTACTGAAGAGGGTAAAGATCTCATTTATTATTGGCCTTCTCTTTTAAATTACAATTACTACAACTGCTTGCAGACTAAGGACCATTCTGGTTTTCTTACAGCAAGTCCTGCTGGGTTATCTATAAGATAAAATAAAGGCTGCACAGGGTCTACAGGGTTAACAAACTCCCACTTGTGGCTACCATCATTTTCCACTAAGGCCCACGCAGTCTCTAAGTAGTAGCTTAAGCCAAGCACTCTGAGAACATACACTTGCCACAACACACCTTTAACCAGAGGATCTAAAAGGCCTGCAGCCAGAGGTAGCCTGACTGCCAATTTAGAAAGCATCATACATTTAGCTGGAACAGACTTATTCTGACATTAGGTGAGTTTACCTTCCTTGCTCTAACTGGCACTTTCTTGAAAAAAATCACAGCCTATCCAACAAAGCACTTCAATACAAAGAAACTTAAGAAAGAGTAATCACAAAGCTTAAAAATGCATTGCATAAAGCAAAGTACTTGTTTGATGATATAGTCAAATGGGACAGAAACTTTAAAGACAGAGAAGCAGTAAAGGGAGAGAGAAATTTAAAAAAAAAATAATAATAAAAAGAGGAGGGGGGAGGTAATATCCTAGTGATCATTCCTTTTAATTTATTTTGCTCCATTTTATATATTTTGGTATTTTAAAAGACATAACCTGAACACTTACAGCTGACTTGAAGCAGACTATATATGTCGAATATTCAAGTCAACATATCTGAAATTCAAGTGACTGAAAATCTAGCTTGCAACCAGATCATTACATATTTCTCAAAACCTACTGCATTACCATACACGTAGTTCTACTTGCAATATTTGGAGTGCAAGACATTACTCAGCATGAAAAAGAGAAGAGCCAGACCCTGTACTGAAGTAGTATTTTACAGTGTGAATATTTTCTGTTTTCATGCCTTATTTTTGCACATCTAGCTTGCCCTGTACAGCTTTATTTCTAGCTACTTTGATACTCTCACCCATGCTAGGGCTTTCTATTATGTTCAGAGAGCTCTTCGTTCTTTTCTGAGCAAGGAAAAAATTATGCAAATTAAAAACTACCTTTGAAAGCATTAAAAACTCAAGCATTTATTGAGGTTTCATAACTCTTATTTAAAACTTTACTTTTCAGCATAACAGAACAAAGATTTCTCCCTTAAGCCATGTAACTGAAACAATCTGGTTTTGAAACCTCTTTCAAGTTGTGTCTTGAACACATCAATCAACAAGTATTTAACAAACAGTACAAATATGTGAAAAATCTTTTAAGTCAATTTAGTAACAAACTCAATTTGGAAAATCAGTCAGGAATTGAAAAAAGCAAGACAGGATAGAACTCAGATGAACAATCATCAAGCTGTTCAGCTAATACATCCACTTTGGGAAAGATGGCATTAGACAATCGTACAGTTATACATAATTTTGTATTTAACTACCTACATCCTCCCCCTTAAAACCTGTTCTGATACAAAATTAATCAAAATACATTAAACTGGAAGCATGTAAATATTTTCATTACATTCAGTGGACGACCATTTGCTTCAATAAATAAGCAGTTTAAGTTAAAAGCCCAACAACAAAATGTATTTTATTATTAAAATCTCTTTAGGCACTAGAAGAGGCAGAGCACTGCGACGGATAATGCTCACTTGGGTAGTGAGTATCTGTCACAGCATATGAACGAAAACTTCCAACTTCCTGTAGTGCTACAAAATTGTTCTAGAACGTTAAATTTTATTTTTTAACATTCTAGAACAAATTAACTAAAAAAAAAAACCACAACAACAAAAACAAACAATTTAAGCTTTTCTTCATCAGGTCTGGAGCATTAAAGTGATGATGCCTCTCCATGTAAAAAGTTTTTTCGGTGCAGAACTTGCTGCCCCCAAAGGCCATGAACACACCCTGCCTGCCTCACAGCGCACAACCACAGCCCAGAGGTAGGTTTTAATTAGTGAGTTACGGGTGCAAATTAACATAAAACACAGCTGACCTATCGTACAGAAAAAAGTGAGTAAAAACCCCAAAGCAAAGACCCAAAGCCTCTCCATGTAAAAAGTTTTTTCGGTGCAGAACTTGCTGCCCCCAAAGGCCATGAACACACCCTGCCTGCCTCACAGCGCACAACCACAGCCCAGAGGTAGGTTTTAATTAGTGAGTTACGGGTGCAAATTAACATAAAACACAGCTGACCTATCGTACAGAAAAAAGTGAGTAAAAACCCCAAAGCAAAGACCCAAAAGCTGCACAATGCTAAAAACGACTCTGCCCCCCCTGGCAGCAGCAGCCGCCGCGGGCCCCGCCCGCACCAAACGGCGCCCCCCGCAG